GTTACGGACTGGAAAAAGGGAATTATCTCTTCTTGCCAGTATATGCCTTTGTACTCCTTTTTCAGATTCACAAAAGGGTTGCTGGCCTTGCTGTGCCAGATGTACGGGAGACCGGTTTTGACACCTAGGTTCAAATGGTCGCATATAACCTGTAAAATGAAAAAAAAAATAAAAATATATCAAATTTTTTTTCCCTTTTTTGCTGGTAAAGAATATAGCGTGATTTGTAGGAGTATAATAATTAAGATGTTTAGAAAAAGGCTGATTTTTTAAATACAGAGAAGTGTCTCGTCTAAGGATTAACGGGTCCAGTGTAGTGCTCTTAAAGGGAGGAGAGTGTAATTTAAAGTACAAATTCGGGTGTTTGAAACATTTTAAGACATTAAGGGATAATTCAAATTTGGAATTATATTGGTGTTTTCTTTGCAAGTAGGATAAACATTTTGGGATTCTTTTCGTATTTATTCCAAAGCAGTTTAGTAGATGTCATCTCAGTATCTCACAGTATATAGTGCAAACCACGCAATAACCTCCTTCTTTACTCACTCACATGAACTAACAAGATATTGGAAACTGCTAATTTTTGGACAACTATATCATACATTTACTATGCATACATTAAAACTTAGAAGTACTGAAAAAGGGGAACAAAAAAAAAGGTTACCTTGGTGCACCAGCCAGCCCACATGTCATCGTATCGCCCAATGGGCTGACCATCTCCCATGAGCCCAAAGTACATAGCCGGCCCAATCAGGTCACGGTTGAACCCCAAATTCATACCGCACATCGGGAAAATGGTACCCTTTGGAATTGTCAATACAGCATCCACATACCTGGAGCCAAAAATAATAATAACGATAAATAAACAATCTACAGAAAGAGTAGCAAAAATCAGGTTAAATGTGTGTATCTTCAAAGTTTATAGGAATAATTAAACAAAAAAAGGAAGAAGAATCAGTCTTAACGACAATACAGCTCTATTGCCTTAACTAAAATCACAGAGACTCTTGACATCGGTTTATATTTAGCAATTTTTCAACATTGTTTGAGTGCTCAACCATTTTGTGGGGGAAATGGCTAAGAACTATGTAGCTGTTTCGATCAAAATATACATTTCATTCATAAACGTACAGCATCGTGTTAAAATTGGCAAGTCTAACAAATTATGACTCAAGACATATGGGGATAATTCTACACAAGACCGTAAATGTAACTTTATGTTTTTATAATTAGACTAAACTTAATGGATATATTTTCAAATTATTCATAGCTTTTACGAGTTCAAGAAGCACGTGCCTGGTATTCCTTTCAAGAGGCTTGACAAGCTGGGTAGGGGCATCGTAATCAGGGATGTTGAGCCAGAGGCCATGAGAGACGGCAGTTGGGACACCCTCACGCATACTGAAAGGGTACCCACGGACAAAATCGGCACCTTCTCTATACGGGTCGTAAAGTGTGTTGAAAAAATGAGGGGTAGATGGGCTCAGGAGGTTCTTTATGTGCTGCTCGAGGGCATTAATGTCCTTCCCAGATGGGTCTTTGGCAACCTGCACATCATCATGAAAGAAAAGGAGCATTTTATTTCTCAATCAGAATGCGCACGTTGGACCTCGATCTTGCGAGATCCGGAGTTTTTCGGGTCACTAGCATTCATCATATATATGGCAAAAGTTAAGTTCAAACCCTTGTTTATTATATGGGCAAGATTGTTATACAACATCTTATTTTGCTGTGTAGTTCTTGAATCTATGTTATAAAGCATACAGTGACAAAGCCTGAAGATCCAAAATATCTCAAAAGGTATGTGCAAGACAAAAATTACAAAATAAAGATCCAAAATTTGAAGCACATCAAAGGGAAACAAAAGTAAATTTCCTGAGGTTTGCCAAATTCAAACTTCATTCACCAATTAGTCTCAATTAAAAAACACAAATCCCCTTTCTGGAAAAGAACCACACAATCGAGAATCTGGGTCAGACAACAAAATCCCCAAATCAAACAACCAACAAAAAAAAAAAATACCCTAAATCTACATCAAAACACCACCGAGAGGCGAGATCCAAACTTTCCACACCCCAGAAACCCCAGATCGCATAATTCACAAACAATTCACAGATAAAAAAAACAAAAATCTGATACTCACAAAGCAATCGTCGTCGATGGTGTAGATATACTTCTTCTTGGACACCATGTACCCAAAGCACCGACACGCAGAGTCCTTGAACGAGATGCAGGACGCCTTGGGCCCCAAGATCCTATTAATATCGTTACGATTGTAGAGCTCGTAATCGAAACCTTCCGGCACCTTGATCGTCTTTGACGGGTCGCCGTCCTGGACGATGATCAGGTGGTACGGCTCGAAGAACGGACGCCACATCTCGAGGAAATCGAGATTCCTAATCGTCGGGATCACAATGTCGAGCTCGTCTTTGAGGAGGGGCGCGGCGGGTACGGCTCCGGCCATGGCTGGTTCCTCTCTCAACGTGACTGTGTGCTTTGGTGTGTGAGATTTTTGGGGGAGAAAGTGTGTGTGTGTGGGGAAAAAGAGGAAAACGGTCGTCTTTTATAGAGAGAAGTCCGGAGACTGGTTAGAGATCTGTTCTGTAATAAATAAATAATAATAATGCGTTACGAGTTTTTAATTAATATTAATAATTATTATAATGTGAGAGTGTTTTTTTTTTTTTTTTTTTATTTGGTGGTAAGAAAAATTAATTAGAGGATTAAAACTCGGAAATTTATGTTATGTAGAACTCGACGTGAGCTTGCTCGACTTAGTTTGATAAGGAGTAGAGTTTGAGTTGGCTAAGGGCGCGATTTGATATGAATTCAACCGGTTAGGATTCAGTTGGAAGTTATTTTATATAAAGTTAATTAAATAGATGATTTTGAAGTGGTAACTAAATAATATTAATAATAGTTAAAATTGATGTGAAATACTTAACAGTGAATTAAAACTAATGTAAAGTGTAAAGATAATTATTAATAAAATTTAATTATATGTATAAAAAGTATGAGAGTTGCGTTGAGTTGTTTTTTTTTTATGGTTAATAAGAAAATTGCATACAGATAAACAAAGAAAGAGGAAAATAAAATTGGAATAGAGTCCTTCCAATAATAAGAAGAAAGTGAATCGATCACTCATTTAGCTATATTATGAGCCGCTACGGTCCTTTCATAAGACATTGCAAACTGAGTTGCAATTTAAAGCCATTAAATAATCCCTAATATCCGTAAACACCTCAAAAAGAGCGTCCAAATCCTCCGAATAAATAATGTCGCTACAACTTCAAGGGAATCTGTCAGCACCACTTGCACCTATAAGTCTGAGTCCAGTATGCATAGCGGAGACCATGACGGAGCACCAGCGCTTCCACTAATAAAGGAGAGAATGAGCCTTCAACGCTCTTTATCAATTGGAATCGATTAAAACTGGTTATGAACAATATTCAATCACGCCCTTAGTAACCAGTAAGAGCTAGGCCAAAAAAATTAGGAAGGTTGATTTTTTGCTAATCATAGTTAAATTTTAAAATGTGGTATGGTTAATTGTCGGTAGGATTTTAAATTGATATTAAAGTAATAATTAAACACAATAATTAAAATTGATTTAACGTAAAAATAAGAAAGATGATGTGAAGTGATGATTTGTTAAAATTATGCGAATAGATGATCGACGTGTAAAAATAATGATTTGTATTATTTGTCTTATTTGGAAACACAGGACTTTTGAGTGAAAAAGTCCATATGGGTAGGTTCTAAATGATTTTATGTATAAGTTGTATTTAAAAATAAAATAAAATCATTCTATAAAAGTCCATAGTCCATTTAAGAAATGAAATTTTACTAAAGTGCACCCAAACAAAAAGTTATGAAATATACTATTTGTATACCACTAAGATTTATTTGCACTTTATAAGTCTCATGAACAAGATTTTAAAAAACAAAATAAGAATATCAAATTCTATCACAAATCCCATCGTTAGGCTTAAGGATGTATATTAATTCTATCACGAAGACTTGTTTAGATTATAAGAATATGATATACTAATATATTCGTTTGAGGTTTTAAAAAATCTTTAAAAAAAAATCATAAGGGTATTTAATTTATTTATCACTTGTATTTGCATGAATTTTTAAGAATTATTGTGTCTTCAAGCAGAAATTACACATGAATAATTTAACATCAAATCTCATGCTCTCTCATCTCAAAACATGTGATTTTTAGGGATTCTACTTAAATAAAAAAAATGTATATATTAAAATTCTTGAAACACACTCTCCTTAAACTAAAAAATCTCAATAAATATTGGATTTTGAAAATCCTTAAGATGTCACTTAAGATATTAAACGAACGCACACATCAATTTTAACTATTATATTATAATTCAACTCATTAAAACTCGATATCAAATAGGTAATATTAGTCTTAAAGAGTCGAGCCTCAATATGACACGTGATTCATTTAACAACTCCAATATAGTACAATCTATATCATACTTTGAATTTCTCAAACAAAATTATTTGCTTAAGATCCAAACTAATGAATAAGGCCACAAGTTTGTGCATGGTTATTTTTTTAACTAAAATTACGATCCATTGTATCGGATCCTCTACATATATGCCGTAAAATCAATCTTGTGTGAATTAAATTAATAAAACACTTAACACATTTTATAACCATAAATATGTTAAGGTCTCGTTACGGAACTATTCCGTTGGAATTTATAATCGTTAGATCATCACGTAACCGTGAGCGATAGTTGAATTAACAGTTACAACCCCGACGAAATGATTACGTAACGGGACCGTAACATATTTCTATATTATGAATATGTAAACAGGCGGCCGTGTCTATGAACACGTTATAAAATTAAGATCAATTTCAAGATAATAAATTCATAACACATGTGATTTGTCAATGTTTAGTGCATTGATTGGGGGCACATCAACATATCAAATTACCAAAGACAAATTTAGCGTAGAAAGTGGTGACGCGGCGTGGATTTGGGGTCATGCCCAAAGGCGGCCTTACCCACCCGTTCACGCCACTTTGAAAATATAGTACATAATTTTCCAATGTAAATAGAGAGTTTCATTGATTGATTAGGTAGGTGCTTGGTTTTCCAATTAACGCTTGTGGCCACGGGCCACCCGTTGACCACGGGTTAAGATTGTGTCCGAATTTTAACCGGGTCTG